TTTGAAGGAGTGTAATATCACTTCGGGGTCAATTCCAGGCATATTTGTCGAACTCCATGCAAAAACATCTTAATTTTTATGTAAAAAATATATGAATTTCTTCTTCTCGTTGTCTGAGAGAAGTGATCCAATTCGCATAATTTTTTAAGGGTGTTTTTCAGATATATATACTGTAGTGAGGTCTTCTATAGGAGAAGCTCTCTGAGGGATATCCTCGCTCCGGAGATCAAAATCCTCGATACTCAGGGTAACTATTGGACGTGGTTTAACCTGCCTAAGATAGCAGGTTTGTGTTATTTATTGATCTCAGGATATGATACTGACTCTTGTCGGAGTAAGAAACTTCATCTTAAGGTGAGGGATAGAGGCGACGATCTCAAAAATTGACTGGAGTGGCCTCCCAAAGATAGCGTTGTAAGCTAATTCTGACTTTACAATAATGAACTGAATGGAATGTATAATCTGTTGAGGAAATTCTCCCCAGTACAACTGGCAGGCTGATTATCCTCTCTGCTCGTATAAGTCGGTTGTCAAATCCATACAGTAGACCTAGAGCAGGTCGAAGCTTCTCTTTAGTGAGACCCATATTGAGAAAAATCGAGTAAAACATAACATTTATGGAACTTCTATTATTCATAAGAATTCTTTTGACATTGTAACACGGATCACCTATCACCACATTAATCACAAGTGGGTCTTGATGAGGGATTTTTACTCCCTCCAAATCAGAATCGTCAAAGGTGATAGAGATCTATACGAGCCTTTTTTAGCATCGAGTTTTCATCTACAGCCAAAAATACCTGATTAGATAGTAAGGGGCCTCCTACGATTGTCTCAATTTCTCTAACTACTATTTGATTAATCACCGGTGGTCTTTATTATTGATTTTGCCCCCCAGCGGGACGAGCTTCCTCTCGGGTAGGTGAATCCCGAATAAATTATCGAAGATAGCCTTGACGATTAAGTCTTTTAATCTCCTACTTGAGATGCCTACATGTCTCGATAGTGTGGTCACAACTACGATGAAAGTGACAGTACTGATATTGATTTCCTATGTTCGACTTTAAAGGATGTGTCCATTTCACTGTATATTGATCTCAAATAGCCATTAATATATTTGCTCGAGATGTGTTGAGTGGGTATATTCTTTTTCCAGTTGAGGTTCTTATCACGTTAATGAAGGCCTAGGAGGTAGATTATTCTTCCCCTGCTTCTTCCGTTGTGAGGATGAATTATCCATTCCAAGTGCACCTTTGCGCTTCCAATTTAATTGCTCAAACTGCTTTCTATGGCATTTATAGCTTCATCTGCAGAAATTTGTGCCTCTACTCGATGAATCAGATCGGTATATGAATGAACAGTGTCGCGCATGAGTGCTGAATAGAAGGGGCCAGGACGAAAGCCTCCAACCTCTCAATAATTCAGGATTTACTCTTGAAATTTGTCGAGCCTTAGTGGAAAATTGCTGAAAATACTCTTTCAATGACTCTCCTTCATTTTGATGGATCTCGGAGAGGTTAGAAAAATCCGTAGCAATTCTTCGATTGGCCACAAACTGTTAGACGAACACTTTGGCTAGTTTGACAAATGAGGGGATCATTCCGGAAGGAAGCGAACAGAACCATATCTGAGCCTGTCCCTTAAGGGTGGCAGGAAAAACCTGACAAATGAGTGCTTCTGATGCTCGATGGATATGCATAATGGTTCTATAGTGGTTGATATGCTCGTACGAGTTGAACGTCCCGTCGTAGGACTTGACGCTTGGTAGTTTGAAGCCAACCGAAATTGGGTGCTGAAGAATGACTTCAGTTAGAGGTGATGACTCATGGAAGTTCCGCTATTGAAGCGTTTACCTCACATTTCCTCCGGGGAACTCTTCCCGTACTAATATATGTAGTTCATGACATAGGGCATTGTAAGGGAGCTTAACAACGTGTGGTTGGGCTAAGTCTTTTGGGGACTGGAAGAATGCGAGATTGTCGACCGGCGTGTGAGGGATGAGTAGAACTTGTTGTATCAGCAAGTTAGTTCTTCTGATGTGATGGTAGATGTCTCCTTGGCGGAGGAAGAGGAATCTCTGCTTGAAGATGTTCAAGTTGAACATCTTCGACCAGTGGTGGATCTCGAAGAAGAAGAACTTCCTCCCGTTGTGCTAGTGTAGACTGCCGAGTCTCTCGCATGAGATAAAGGATATCGTTATGAGATTCTTTCATTTTCGGATTCTATCTTCTAATGAAGGTCCTGAGGTTCCTTCTCCAGCAACATTTTGCCCCCTAGGGTAAAAAGAGGAAGACATCGGGCGTCTATGATTCATAGACTGATTTCTGGACTGGTGGGAGTTGGAGCGAGAAGTTCCAACGATACGAGTGTTGCGCCTGTTGACCATCGTAGCAATAATTGAAGTTGTGGAATAAGATTTCCTACAAACGACGCCAAACTATTGTGAGATAGAATATCTGCGGTGATAGAGTTAGAAACTATTCTTCTTAGTGTTGCACAGATATTCAGTACACAAATAGAGGAGAAATAATAACACCAAGATTTTTACATGGAAAACCCTGAAAGGGGAAAAACCACAGGGCCACGCCCAGTTGAAAGATTTCCACTAATATTTACTTGAAATACAAGAGGCTGAATCGTCTGTAAAAGTTAGGACGATCAGATTATAATGAATCACTTCTGGATTGAAATCAAGATATAATGTCAGACAGAGTTCCAGCGTCATTCAAAAGTCAGGCAGAATTCCAACGTCGTTTGGCCGTCGGGTAAAAATACGGCGTTACTTTGGCGTCGGGCAGAACTCCGGCGTTACTTCGTCGTCGGGCAGAACTCCGACGGTGTTCGAGGAGGAGTTATTCCCTCCTATCATTCTCTTCTCTTCTCCTTCTCTTCTTCTTTTCTTCCTCTTGCTTGGTCCCCTCTCATGAAAAATGAGGGGTCTATTTATAGATATTCTTGAGTGGCATGGCTTGTAAATAGTTGAGAGATCAGGGGTAAATAAGGAGTGGCTGGATGGATGACCGATATTGAATCCCTTGATCATGCACCGTTCGTCAGACATTTGAAGGTCTTAATGATGTTGGAATTCGGCGATCTTGGGCTCGTTGGATTCTTCTCATCGAGCCTCTCAATTCGAATATAAGCATGTCATATTTGGAAATTGTCTGATAATCCAAATTATGGATTGAACCTTCCGAATGTGATTCGAGCCTTTGATTCAAACTTATTTGGACTCAGATTGAGACGAATTTGATGTAGTTGGGTTCGTATTTTCAAGACGATCAGTTCGACTGTAAGTTTGTTGAAATCGAAGTTCTAATTATCCCGAATTTAATTTTTGAAGTTTCAAGCTTGATTTTCCTCGAGATTCGTGCCCGATCAAGATAATTTTTGGATGATATATCAGGTAGCATTGTCGTCTCCCCTCTCAATGCCTGACACGCAACATTGATACTCATCTCAACATTAATCATTTTAAACATAAATTCTAATTAAAATTTTTGTACTAAAACTCCGTTTTAAGAATCAATAAAAAAGTCGTCCCAAACTAAGCCTATGGTTGAAAGCTGGTGGTTTTTTTAGGTAATTATAGAGAGTGATTGCTTTGTTCTGAAATTTGGAAAGCTCAAAAGACAGTTGAAGAGTAATTTAAAAAAAAAAATTAAAAAACACTCACTTAACAATATTACTAACCAACTTTTAACTAATTACATGCTTTTATTGTGGATTCACAAAACTTACTTTAAGCTTTCTTTAGCATTTTAAAATATATATAGCTTGGTCTTCAAAGACGAGCAGAGGGAAAAGCTTGGTTAGCGTCGGGCAACCTATTTCACATTTTTCACCTTATATGGGCACTCTAATCCTCCTTTAAGAATTTTATATTGAATGAGCTACTAGATGTACTTTGTATGCATTTATTCACCAATTTGTATTGTTGAATTGCATATGGTCAACAAACTATATTTTTTTATTATAATAATTCAATTCTATTCAATATAATGGAACCAATGTTGACATAAATTATCATTATTTTTACTGATACAATTAATATTTCATGTAAGTAAATAACTATAATTTATATTTTAATAATATTTATTTTTTTTTTATTTACGTGCCTTTTATATATATATCTTCTATTTTTTTTATATTAAATTATCAAATTTAATATTGCCTATAAAATTCAATTGCATGACAATTAATCCAATCAACAATTGTTCAAATTTATTACAATTAATTTGTGGTTGATGAAAAATTTGTTAGTCGTGACGATCACGACCATGGCAAGACAAACAATCGTGCGGGTGGGGATGCACACTTGATTGAGCCATAATCACGATAGTGATGAGGCACGCTTGGTCGAGTGAAAGATGACTAGGAAGTGAATCAAATCATGAAGTTTGAGTCCAAATCATCAGGTGTGTAGGCACCACAATGACCAAATTGGAGGCCTCCCAATCGAGGTGTGCGTGCAATGGGTGATATTATATTAATATTATGGATGTCAAAATGGGTCAATGAGTCTTGTTCGTGTCCAACCCAAGCTGAACTAGACTTTTTTAATAAAAGATTATTATTTTTTATCTCGAACTCAATTTGATAGCCTATTTTAATTAAAAATAAATTTTATTTACTTATTAATCATATATTTTAGATTAGTCAACTTGAACATGAAATTTTCAAGCCAACTTGAACATTTAATTTTCAATTTATAATTTTAATAAATTTAGGAACCCAATATAATATATTTATTAATAAATAATTATTTTTGAATTATGATTCTATGAATTTGATTGATATTTGTTGAATTTAATTGGCTTAAAAGTTTAGAAGTAATTCAACCTAATTTCATGGTCTCAAATTAAAATTAAAAAAAATTGAGATTGTTATGAATAAATCTTAACTAAACCTAATTATTTTTATATATTAGAAATCATTTTAGAAACTTGAAATCAATACACAAATTTCACTCAATTCATAATTTCAGCACACAAGCATTTAAAAAAAAAAACCGCAAAGAAAACATCTATTTAAAGCACACAATTCCATTTTAAAAAAAAAAATCCAAAACAAAAGCAACACTTTCCATCATAGCTAACCCCTCTTTCCCATTAAAAATTTACCCTGAGCCCCACCCTAAAGGGGCAAATTATTGGGTCAGGTGACCGGAGCCAAAAGATAAGTTCGGACAGCCAATAAAAATTTACCGCGTCATCTTGCGCTTTAGTTGCGCTTTTTGACTTGCGCTTTAGTTGCGCTTTGGTTGCGCTTTAGTTGCGCTTTGGTTGCGCTTTAGTTGCGCTTTTTGACTTGCGCTTTAGTTGCGCTTTGGTTGCGCTTTAGTTGCGCTTTAGTTGCGCTAATTTTAAAATAATATTTTATTATTATCCGAACCTATCTCTGCGTTCGGTCACCTGACCCAATAATTTGCCCCCTAAAGGGGTCGAGATTCACTGAGGGTAACTCCTATTTCATCTTTCATTCTTTTGCACATGAGCGTCGATTCAAGAGGGATAAGTCTGATCCTATGTGTAAAACTTTTTTGTCTTCTTTTCCCATCCACAATTTTCTTGTTGAATCAGAATAATTGCTACATAATGTTGAAAACCTGTAAACATAATGCATATTGATTAAACAAATTAAATAAAGGAGATTTTTTACAAACAAGGCTTCAAGTAAACAATCATCACCTATCCTTCATATGCATCAAGGCCCTCCCAGCTTCTTCTTCCTTTTCCTTGGATTCAGCAACACTTTTGGCATATCCTACTTTTAAAGAGTCCCGAATTGTTTGTTGAATGCCTGCATCAGTATTTTAGCGTTCGATCCACATCAGCATTCTTCAATTATCAATCCAATATAAGCTAAAAAAAGATTACTAAGGAAATAAAATAACTACTTGTTAAAGAGAAAATAGAAAAAAGCCTCAAAGACATATTAATACATATTTTGTCAATCACTACTGTAATATCATGTTGGACAAATTCAACATCTTTATATACATGAAAAAATAAAAATAAAAGGCTTTCTGTACAATTTAAGTACGTGCAAAATTACCCAACTATGAACCATAGCATTGCCTTGTTCACACCTACCATACAAAGAATGCATTGAGACAAATCATCATGAATATAATGCTTCCAAAAGCATGGAGGAAAAAGAAAAATATTAAATATGTTGTATTCATTCATTCAACAAGGCGAAAAATTGTGATAATGTATAGCTCAACAAATCTAATTTAAATTTCTAGCTACCTTTGCAGTCTTCATCAAATGCGAACATGACAGACTGAGAGCAATCATTAAAAGCAGCAATAGCTCCTCCACTTTTCCGAGCCTCATTAAATCTAACGTTAAAATCTTCTGAATATTTGGCTACTAGATGCTTCAACATGGAACGGTAAGCAGGTTGAACATACTACAATTACAAAACATAAAAGATATTATATAACAATTAATAATGTCAACTTGGATCATATTACAATATACATAACTTACACATCATTTTCTTAAACAATATTGTTGTGCAACAACATGACAAAATAAGCATTTGTTAAATTGGACTCAATCCCCAATAGTTAAGTATACAGATGAACATGAAAGAACTATATATATATATATAGACTAAATTGGCTTTACACACAACACCCAGAATGTTCATAGCATTTTCATTAAACAAGATCATGATGTATTTACACCTCCAATATTTAGGACTTATTAAAAAACCTTAGGGTGAAGAGAAAGAAAAAATATAAAGGAAGACGAAAGAAATAGAATAACCTATTTTTGTTGGGGTGTGCATTGCCTAGGGCGAACATAAATAAAATAATAAAAATAAATTTAAGAATGTTGGCTTGATTTATATTACAACACCCATAAACTCCATATCAATTTTATTAAACAAGATTGTTCTATATTCACACCAAAATATAAAAATTAGAGCTAAAATCTCAATCCATAAGTATGAAGCAGAGAAGCAAATAAAAAATTGAGACAAAATAAATATGGAAATGTATGCTTCGATATGTAAGTATCGAAGGGAAGAAATCGCAAAAATATAAAATAAGTAAAAGAATAAAATAAAACAAAATTTAAGAGAGAAAGAATTACCAAGTAGGGCAATAAATTATACTTTACAAAGTTATCTATAGAAGATGATGCCAGAAACAAATGTCCATTATTTGATAAAGATAAGGAAATCTAGCAATCATATGTTAATTAATTTCACCATTAAAGTAATTGTGCCATAACTTTTCCTTGCCATAAATAAAACAAAACATACAATCATACCGATGATTACTATAAACATTATAACACATACACATATTTGAAGTTTTTGAATCAATAAACAAAGGGTCAAACCAAATCAAACCAAAGGTTAATTTGTGATTTAAAATTAGTTACAAAACGGTTAAAAACGCATAGGATTCAAAATTGTGAATATTAAATTAGGAGAACTCACTTGCTTAGATAACCAGGGGCAATAATTTGATCATGCCTCGAAATAAAATTCATAAAACTTCAGGGGTTGAAAAAAGGATGCAATTGTTGAGCAAAAGAATATCTCATTGAAGAAAGTTTCGCTACTTCGTATGGGCAAAGTTGCTCTAATCAATATTCTACCTCACAATGAAGTGAAATTCATTTAGGTGTATGACTAAAATGATCCCAAATAGTGATGTACCTAGACTAAAAATAGCTATCGAAAGAACATTTAATTCGAAATTTTAAGAATCATTAGTATGAAGAAATTGCTCGCATATTTTATTCAGTAGCACGTCATTTCATTTAATAAGAAAACTATATTATTTTAGTGTTTTTTATACACAAACAATTGTACTCTTCTTAGTTATATTCCTCTAGTTTATGATCATTTGAGGACAACATTAATTTAAAAGCAAAGAGCCCACGTTGAAAGAATGATTGAGTAAACTAAAGAGGTTTTAAATGAAAAATGAGTTGCTATTATTTTTTGTGGTTGGATTGATGCACAAAAAATATATCTTATAAATTTCATGGGATTTGCAAAAACTTGGCCTATGTTTATAAAGGTCAAAAATTGTGAAGGAATATATATAAATAAATTTTGCATTAAAAATCAAACAAAAGAAGTGAGTATATGGTGGGTTTACATAACAAGGTTGAAATAATCACTACCAATGCACTAGTTAACAAAGCTTCAGGAAAATTTAATGAGACGCCGTCTTTTTAGACTAATTGTGTTGTTCTCACATTTGATCTTGCATTAAAGAATATTGAAGGTAATCAAATCACCTATGAAGAATGTAATTAAATTAAATCCAATATCACATATAAATCTAATTAGATATGAGACAATACAAGATATGTGAACTTCATAAAAAAATCTTCATTAATTATTCAATAAGATTTTCAATTTGCAAAGAATATGTGAAGTTAAAATTATTGGTTATATGAAAGACTTGTTTGCTTGAAATATCATTAAAATTAGCAATTCTAAATAATAATAACAAAAAAAAAACTTTACGAACTATAATGATTAATGACAAGTGGATCAAGTAACAATAAGATTATATAAATTTACATAAGGCCAACGTGTGTGAAGGAGAAGACATTGGATGTGGTGGGACATTTTTTTTTTTTTTCGCAAAGCCAATATAAGCATGCTAAGAGTGGCTAATATAAACAAGCCTTATCTCCCATCTTATTTATGAAATACAGTATTCTACGATATAAGAGATAAAAATGGATGATATATTGACATGAAGGAAAAAGATACAATGACTCCACCTTTTATATAGGAGTGTGTGACATTCTTGTGCAAAGATGGAGTAAAAAAAAACTCTCACTTTCATTGCTTAGCCACTCTCTTAACCAAAGGTAACATCATAATTTTTCATTAATCTTAGCATAGGCTATTACACAATTAAATTATTAATCTTACTTATTAGATGTACTCTTTTATAAGGTATTATAGCCATGTTTGGCTAATTGCAGCTTCAAACCATATTGCAACACAAAGATGTGAAGAAATCAAATGAGAGGAACAAATGATTGAAGAGAATTTCTAAATATTGAAGGTGGATGAATGTTTAATTTAGATCTTGTTAATTTTTTTGAATTTAGTGGTGCTTTTGTTCATCATGACTTCATAGCTTCTAGAGGTGCTATGGATGGAAAAGCTTGGTGGATGATTTATGGTGCTAGTTCTCCACGACTTCCAATGGCAATTTAATTATTAATTAGCTCACTAATTTTCACTTCTAGTTGCAAAAGAAATTGGATTACCTAATCTTTTATTAATTCAATCAAAAGGAACTATATAACTCTTTAACGGGGTAGCAATTAGTATTTGTGCATACTAATCTTCATTTTTTAGATCTTGGAGGAACCAAGAATATACTCAACAGAGACTACATTGTGGACTTGGGTGGAAATACTTTAGCCCAATATATGACATTAGAATATTTTAATTTGCTAATATCTCTTACTACGTAATCTTTGACTATTTCTTTTATAGATGGTGTCATTGAACAAATACGGATGCTAGTGCTAGTAATGATCATACAATTGAGTGTCTAAAATCCAATCATTTATTCCCATACAATCATATTTTATTATTACTTTGAAGAGGGCATTGGCATTTATTTTTTTATATGTTTTTAATATTTTGTAAGCAATAATGATATTGTCAAAATATGTGACAAATAAAAGGTTTAATGAATGCTAATTTTAGAATGTCATTAATAAATGACAAATAAGATATGAGCATCTTATCACTTATAAAAATAAATATAGTAAAAAGCAGATTGATTATTTTTTTATAAGAAAATAAAATCATTTAGATTACAAAGATTGTAAAGTTATTCCGAGTGAAAATTTATGTACCCAACACCGATTATTAGTTTTAGACTTTAAGATAAAAGGGCAAAAAATAAAAAAATAAAGTAAAATGATTTCTAGGATTAGATGGTGGAATTTAAAGAATATTAACAAAAGTATTTTTGAGAGTAAATTTTAGATCTTAAGATTCTGTCTGAGCATGAGGATGTCAATATTATATAGGAAAAAGTGACTTGTGATATTAAGAATATTGCAAAAGATGTGCTTGGAGTTTTGAAGGGAAAAGCTCCTAATAGTAAAAATAGTTTGTGGTGGAATCCAAATGTGCAAGAAAAGATAAAAAATAAGATTTATTATAAAAATTGATTTAGATTTAAAAATTTTGATAATTGGGAAAGCTATATAAACAGACTCGTAAGGAATCTAAGAAAGCTATTTGCGATGCAAAGATCTTAGCTTTTAATGATTTATATAATATATTAGATACTAAAGAAGGAGAAAGATATATGTATAAGTTTGTAAAACAAAGAGATATGAGTAGTAAGGATTTAGTTCAAGTGAAGTGTATTAAGGATGAAGATCAAAAAGTACTTTTCCTAGAAGATGATATTATCCAATATAACATTTACCTATAGCATGTTGTGTTTTATGTTTTGAAATTATGACATATCATCATGTCCGTGCTATGCGGCATCGTGTCCTTTTTCGAACTTCATATGATGCAGCATAATTGATGTGACTGCATGACATATCCTAATTCCCTAAATTGTTGCACAATTATGTGCTTCACAATGTCCATTCTCATATTTCATAGTGGGCAATATAGTTGATGCGGCTCTATAACACAATCCAATTCCCTGAATTATTGCACAATTATATACAGTTACAAGTTAACATGAGTAACTTTTAGTCTATGTTAAGTAAAAAATAAATAGTATTATAGCCACCTTTTTTTGCAAACACTCTATGGGAGGTTCAAAACAATCATGTTGATCAAGCTTCGATAACTATACAATTCCCCAATATGATGTTTGTATTGCACATGAATTTCTCTCAAAAAGTTTTACAATTTGAATAAGAAAATTTGCAAGTATATCCCTCGCTTTTTACATATAGTTTTAACGAAGTTCATAAAAAATTTAAGCCCCTCTAACAACTCCCTTGATTTTTGCCGGTAAGCATGTAAATTCATTTAATTGGCCTCCCTTTTTTCAATTATTATTTCTGTGGCATAAAAATGTTGTACTTTCCAGTGAACTTTCTAAATGAACTGAGATACCCTCCCACACATCAGAGAAGCAAATGAGGAAATTTTACATTAAAAAAAATTGTATTCGAGATGCAAAACCATGATTAAAAAATAAACAAAAAATGCCCAAGTGAAATTAATGGTTTAATAGATGATGAGTGACCAAGTAGGAGATTTTCAAGAAATGAGAGGCATTATTTCCCGTGTCAATAAAATGGAAGCTCCATACAAATTTTTAAATAGCAAATTCAAACTATTTTGAGGCATTCATTCCAGAATTAAAAAAAAAAATGATGAAATATGCAGTATATTTCCATTTTAAAAATAAAATTAGTATATGCAATAATTTCCTAAAAAAAAATTACAATTAGAACAATGAAAAAAGAAGACTGTAGATCAATTATATTGGGGAAACTAGAGAAGCTTGACCTTTTATGAGAAACTTAGTATATTCACCGTGCTCTTTGATTCCCTAATTTTCTCACAAGATTGAAATGCAAACTAAATATTGGTATGAAATCAACTCATAAAACATTTTTTTGTGAAAATACCTGAAAAAGTTTTGATTCCAATTGTTGTCTCTTTAAGGTTCTAACACTGTCATCAAAATATACAGCTTCCTTGTCATAACTGTAATACAAATCAAGTTTTTAGTGAAATTATGATATTATTGTGATGAAAATCATAATATGTAAGCTAGCTATACAATGAAACAGGCAAAAGTTTGTTGTCAAACTATTCAGTCAAAAAGGATTACATAACACTAGTTCTGAGTGAGATATCTTGATAAATCGTTCTTGAAAATCAATGTCCAATACCAAATGATATCATATGTATTTATGTTTTTGAACTTTTCAGAAGAAACTCTATAAAATATAGCCATCATAATACCTTATTAACCATCGTTAAATACAAAATTTCTAAATAATACATAAAGAATTTCAAAAGACATCTAAATTAACTACTATTAATGGCTCCCGCATAATTTTTAAATCTTAACGTCCTAACACCATCATGCAATGTTTACATCTAGTTAAACCCTTAGACTTTCCAATATTTTGTAACAATAGGCTAAAGCTAAGTATCAAGATAAACACAAAATTAGATATGCACACTACCCAAATTTTTAAAGATATATTCCCATATGTAGAAGGGGAAGGAGCAAGAGAAAATATTAATATATAGCTGAAAGATCATGTTCGTCCTTATACAGGATAAAGATGCAACTCGAAAAGTTTTTTTAAATTTTCAAGAGCATAAACCACTAGGCTGCTTTCAAATCTAATCTATTTTTAAAATGATGATCAACCTTTTATGAAATAGCAACCCTACATTCTAGAAGCATTAACCGTTGAAATATTTAAAAGGCATTTATCATTACATTTATTCTTTAATTTGCCAATAATTACCAAAATATAAGCTAAATCCTAAATCAAGAAAAATGAAACCAGTGTGATAGCTTTCACGAAATTTACCTTATTAACAATCAATAATTAAAAAAAAAATTGTTTTTCACATTAATTAAACTAAAAATTATTACCCAATCAAGCAGTTCTCCAATATAGAGCTGAGTTTCTTCGCAAAATCTGGAACAATACCATTTTGTACCGCATCTTCAAGGTGGCGCCACTCCTGTCAAAATGCTCAAATGGATAGTAACGCCAAAAACATGCCCCATATACTAGAAACTAAATAGAGAGGAATACTTAGCCAATTACCTCATTATTCAAGAAAGAATCAATTTTTGCATTTGCAATTTCTTCACAGCGAACAATAGCAATCATAACCTACATTAGGACAGCGACAAAATTAGATATTGCTATATCAAAGGAAAAAAACTCACAAGTTATAAACAAACAAAAAGCAAACCATCACCTCGTGGGCGAGTAAATCAATATTCTTGTTCTCTTTTATAGCTTTCCAAATTTGTTGTGTAAAAGAAAATCCTAATGCAGGAATAACGCCTCGTCTATCTCCAGCAAGCCCACCGGGAGCAATAGAATGAAAAAACCTTTTCCGTAGCTTTGCAACCTGTAGGGACATAATAACAAAACCTTACGAATGCCTGAATCTAGAGCAAGAATGCATATTTGAGGCATTGCAACATATAAAATATTATGACACATTCAAAAATTTGGGTGGATAATGAACCATTCAGTTAAGCTTGTGAGAGAAAATGTCAAACGTTCAAGCGTTGTTGGAGAAACTACAATTTTGGCCATCAAACTGTAACAACTACATTTAAAGCAAGGGTTATGTCCTACAAAAAGACTAATAGGTCCAGTATCATCTTAGCAAGGATTAATCATTCTTGGCATGCAAGGCACGGAATTCTAACGAAAAGAAGATTAGTGTCAAATGTAAGAAAACCACAAAAACATTTCCTATTATCTTATTTCTTCATCCTCTTTACATTTTAGTTCTTTTCATTTTATCCTTGCTATTTTCCATCTTTTATTATTGTGGTCACTCATATATTATCTTTTCCTATTCTTCATTGCGCACACATTCCCTCCAAGTACACGCATGCTCTTTTCTTTTTTCTTCACAGCAGCATCACTCACAAAATTTTTGGCAATTGAAAACTTCCAAGCATCAATCTCAACTCCTAACCAAAAAAAATGAAATAAAATAAAATAAACACAAAACAATCATGCCTCGCACCATAACATATAAAGAAACACAAAAAGGTGCACACATACATATGTTAAACAAAAATGGTTACATTAGCAATAAGGTGAAGGGTAGGGGTGTAGGAGTTAAACAATGCCTACATTTTGCAGCTCTAGGCACATAGTTCACCAAATATTTTCAATGTAATGGATTATTGAAAGCAACAGAAATTAGCTCATTTAGAGCAGTGTGGGCTCCGAAAATTCGGCCCCAGCCTCCCTGCCGAGCGTTTCTTCTTTTTATTCGGCGAGGGAGTTTTAACTGATATAAGTTCCGGGGTAAATTTTGGAAGGCAGATGGGTTTGTAGATAAGACACTACCCAGAGATTTCGCCCTCATTTTGCGAGGACTTTATGATCTGAGTTCTGGTTTCCTATAGGCGCAAGCCCCTATAGTTAATTACCCCTCTCGATCACGAGAGAGAACTTTCGATTAAGGCTAGTCGTCAATCAGATACGTATAGAGAATACATGTTATCTGGCATATAGTAGCAGCATGAGTTGGATATTTGAAAATTGTGTTTGAATTTGGATATTTGGAAAAGGTTTGGAAAGTTTGGATGTTGGAGAATTGAGATATTTAAGAAGTTTTGATATTTAAAATAAAAATTTTACCATCCTATACTTAAAGCGGATGGTGGGGGAATGGATGATAGACCCGATCAAGATCCCATGGTTCCGTCGTCCCGGGCCATCGTGGTCCCTAGTCTACTTAGTCAGAGGAGGTAGTCGACCCAACCTGACAGAAGGATCCTTGTCGGCAGCCATGGGTTGCTTCCGTCCAAGGGGACCATGTAGACCTGGGTTGGATGTTTGTCTAAGGGGACAAATTTGAATCCACCTTAGCTTGCAGAGAGCTTTGTGCCCTATCGATTATATCCTATTGATTCATATCTCAAGGATTTGATGCCAATAAGGAACGTATTGGCTCTGGCCATAACCGGTATTTCGTGATGCCATTTGGCGGCAAAACCACTCGGTTCAGAGGGCCCCGGGTCATAACCGTTTATCCTACGGTGCCATTTGGCGGCTAACCGCCGGTCAGAGGACACGTACCACGTCCTTACTGGCAGGAGATTGTTTAAGAATGGATCCTAGTGATATTTTCGACTAGGCATTTGGCTCCTTGTGAGCTGAAGTAAATTTTGATTTGTCCACCCCGACAACTGTTGTGGAAGGTGGATGGATTTTGCTTTAAGTTTTTGATGGATTTATTTCAATTTCAAATATTTTTGGGATTTTTGAGAATTTTTTGGATTTTTGTGGGAATTTGGATGGAATTTTGAGTATTTGGAATGGCATTTGAAAAATATTTGTGAACCCCTCCGGTTGAGACATGCATTCAACACGTCCATCATCGGGGTGTTTGGGGTCATTTCTCTTTATAGATTGAACCTTGTCAACTCTGTCGGACTATCGACAGAGGATCGAGTTTCGTAGGCTTTATGCCCTTGATAGTGAATTCGTATTGTTGTAGGCCTTGAAGGCCTAATATGAATGTTTTAAAGCAAATATACCTGTCGCCGCAACTTTACATTTGCTTAATGGTTCGAACCCTGTCGACTTCTATTGACCCGTATAGAAGGATCGGTTTCGAACCTGAATTCACTTGCCAACCAACGCAGCATCCCTAGACGTCACGTGTGTACCAATAACACGCTCGCCGGGGCCCATGCGGGTATTTGATTACATTTACCCCTTTTAGTGTGCCTATGTGTATACAAACTATTGTGCACGTGCGGGGGCATTCTTGGAATAGACGCCTTCTGTCTGCTTGTACGGAGGTTGCATATCCGGTGGTGTGGCGTAGCAGCTTCTGGATCAGTGGTTTGCTGCTTCGTACAGGTAGACTGTCGTGCACTATTTACTTTCGGTAGGTGGATCGTAGTGCACTAACTAATCTCTTGCCTTCATTGTAGATGCTTGTAGAAATTTGTACTCGTCGTATCTCATTCTCTTATGCTTGCAAATAACATATAGTATGTATGATGAATATTCTACAACCCTGAGATATTTGTATTTCCCCATACATCATCTATCCTTGCTTATACAGGGCCAGTGTATTTGATTGATGTTGGACAATTATCAACCATAGAGGTGTTATAGTGTCTTTGCCACAACAATTGGTAGGTACTTTGAATGTACTACGGACATGATGTCTCTTTCACCACTCTTCATGTACTTGATTGTAAGCATATCTTCTATACTCATTAGTGGACAAGTTGTATTATCTTATACTATTTATATCTCTTCATTAGTGTCCCTAGGTGGACGTAGAAAATACTACAACAATCTTCTTATATGCCCTTATCAATTTCATTGCTTGCAAGCTTGGGTACATTTAATTGCATGTGTCTTCGTCGTCATTTGTGAGTAAATGATGTTTGTAAATTCTATAGTTATTGCAAGTCTTCCTTTTCACAACAAATTTCATATGTATTCTTTTGTATTTAGTTTGGACCTTTGTTGGTATGATAGCATCTTGTTGTTGATTGAAGATTTTGCCATGCTGATTGTGAGCATGCCATATTGAAAATCCTGTTACAACTATCAAATCCTTTCCATCAGCATGAATATTATGAGTGTTGCATACTAATTACCACCATTTATAGATGATTTGCAATGTTCATTGAGGATTCTATGTATTTGCTTGCTTATAATTGATCAACATTATCACTTTGATCTTAACACTTTCACTTTGATCTTATATTTGTTGATTCTAAATTTCAATTCCATGGGGTCCTGAAAGTTCAAGCCTTGTTGTGTAAATCAAGTTCTTGCTTGAGTTCAAGTAGTGAGCTCAAGCCTTATGTCCCCTTCACTTGGTTCAAACCAAGTTCTCTTGCAAATGATTCATGTTTTGTTATATGTATGTGCTTCAAGTCCTTACTTGAGTTCAACTACTCAAGTCAAATTTGAATCAAACTCTTTGTTTTATTGTTCAAGTCCAAATTAAAATCTCTTGTGGTCTTGTAGAGTCCAGGTTCGAGTTCAAATTGAGTTTATGTCCACAATACTTAGTTCATTTGAGCTTGAGTTCTTGTTATTGTTCTTTTCAAGTTCAAGTGCAGTTCAGTTTGAGTCCAACTCAAGTATTCTGTTGTTTTTGACTTTTTGTAGAGTTCAAGTTCCACTGTCATTTCTTTGATGTTCATTTGATTAAGCTTGATTTTAAGCTTAATGTTGTCTCAAGTTATGCCCAAATTAAGTTTATTTGATGTCCAAATAAAGTTCAATATTTGTTCTAAGTCCTTGTCCTTTTCGGACAAAAATTCGGCAGTCTCCCGGCGTCTCCCTCGTTTAGGAGAAAAACCAAGAGGCCGCCTACCCGCCACGTCACTAAAGACGTGCACGGTTGGTGTTGGTGAACACCGCGGCGGTTGTATTTTTATTTTTTCTCCCACCACGCGCACTAAAGGCGTGCTTGGGGTTTTAAAAAAGTATATTTTTTTAAGCAATTTTGATTTCCCCCCGCCCGGGGGTACTTATGAGCGACCCCGCCTCGCCGTAGGTGCCGCACCGGGGTCCCATCCCACCACGCGCACTAAAGGCGTGCTTGGGCGGTTTTCCGGTCCGCCACGAACATTGAAACAGAGTTTTGAGTTAGAAGAATTCGTACCTTCGCGGGGTTGTCGTGGTTGGCACATGGATTGAGGGGTCACTCGCCTATCTCGTCATAGGTGTCACATCGGGGTCCCATCCCACCACGCGCACTAAAGGCGTGCTTGGGGCGGTTTTTCGGTCCGACACGAATGCCGAGGTAGGAGAGTATGGGGGAGGCATTTTTTATTATTTTAATAAGTAATTAAAAAATTATAATTAAACTTAATTATAACTGATTATAATCAATACTATTTAATCATGATTAAAAATATTTAATATATAATTAATTTAACTAATTATATTTAATTATAAATAATTAATAATTAATTAATAAAATATAATAATCATTTATAATTAAACTAAATTAATTATAAATGATTATAACTATTTATTAATTAATTATAATTAAAGTAATTAAATATAAATTGGAACCTGCAACAACCCCAAAAAAAAATTAATTTAAAGAATGAACCAAGAAACATACCACTGCTTCGAGGACCCATTATGGAGACTACAACATATGAGAGACCACATTCACCAAGTTCCACAGTCTTCATGAAATTAAACATTCCAGAGACATTGTATACACCATCTCCATCAATTATTTGGGTAGAGCAACTACTATCCCCCATATCTGTGAACAAAATGACATGCATGTATTTAAGAATGAACTCACTCCATTTTCATTCACCTTTGTAATCTTGCCAATAGACGAAAAGTTGACTTATACATACTTAGATGTGCAGTAAGTAACGATGAGTTAAAAATATGATAGTTAAGTCTGACAGCATAAATTTCTTAAAAGAAAAATCTAACAACTGTTTTTTTCCTTAACTCATTAACAAATATGAAGCAAGCAAACAACAACGAACTGCTTGATTTTTGGTGACTAACATAAAGCAACAGTCTATAAAGTTTAGTGTTTAGCAATAAAAAATTGAGAGAACAATAAAAACAAAATATGGGCATAGTGTGATGTATATAAAACAAGAAAAAGAAATAAAACAAGAACACCTAAAAGTGAATCCAAAAATAAAAAAAGAGAAAATTCACACAGAGACGATGGATGAAGCCAGCACAAGTATATTTATTAGTCGATCGATTGGTATTCATTCCACACTTAAAATCGGTCATTCATGACATTTTCCTAATCAAAATGAAAAAAAAGGATCAAAATGGCTCTTTAATTCTTCATGGACCAAAATGACTCCCAAATATATTAAATGACCATTTTGATTTCTCAAGTCTTTTAAAAGAATTAAAATAATCATATGATAATTAAGGCCTTTAATCAATACAATAATATACTTCCTCATATATTTATCATCAAGATATATGTCGCACTCAAAAAATTCGCATACAATAACACAACTTTGAAAGGATATATGAAAT